TTTGAGAGAGAGAGATGTGTGATATACATACATACATACATACATACACATACACACACACACACACACACACACACACACACACACACAATGGGTATCGTCAGGTTGAAGAAAGCAACTAACAAATTCTTTTTTGTAAAATGGATTGAGAAGGTTCAGTTGAAACTCTTTGACTTACAAATAATATGTATTTTTAATTGTTCTGTTCAGAGGTAGTACTATTTATTTTTAATCACATGCTAAGCAATTTAATTTGAACCTTATCTGTGACTTTTTCCCAGAAGTTCATTTAATTAAAGTCTTTCTGAACAGCAACAATTCTGGTAGGATTCTTATATTTTTCTCTTACATTGTGGGATGATTTTCCCAAATGCGTCACATTAAAAAAATTCATTTTAAACTTCTGTTTCTTAAGGATACCAAATATACTTTCTTGAATTTGTTACTGACCACTAGGTTCTAGATTAGATTATGTTGCTACCTTGAGTAATAAGTAAATTTTTATTGTGTTTATACTTTTTCCTAGGGAAAAGGGCCAATAATGGGCCTTTTCAAAGCGCTCTATACATTTAAATAAATAAATTTATTTCTGGGTGGTTTTTTTGTTTGTTTGTTTTGAGACAGTCTTGCTTTGTTGCCTGGGCTAGAGTGCGGTTGCATCATCATAGCTCACTGTTGCCTAAAACTCCTGGGCTCAAGCGATTTTCTTGCCTCAGCCTCTCAAGGCGATATGACTACAGGTGTGTGCCACCACACCCGCTAATTTTTCTTATTTTTTGTAGAGAGGAGGTATTGCTGTGTTGCCCAGGCTGGTTTTGAACTCCTGGATTCAAGTGATCCTCCCACCCAAGCCTCCCAAAGTGCTAGGATTACAGGCGTGAGTCACCATGCCTAGTCCAGGGTAGTATTTTTGAAGATCAGTTAAAATATATTGTTTTACTGTTTTGTAGGATTTTTGCATTTTTTAAAAAAAAAAACCTAATTATGTGTAGGTAGCAGATCTTAGAAGACATCTGCTGAGCCAGCACTGTCTTCTATGCTGTAAATCTATTCTAAAATTAATACTTCATTTATTTGAGATAAAATGTTCTCATATATAGATTTTAGAGGCAACGCGTTCTGTTTAGAGACAAAAAGAAAGTCCATAAACAAATATTTATTTTATTACAAGAAGTAGAGCAAATGGATTTAGTTTATGTAGTACATAACGTAGTCGATAGTTCATATGCTAATTTTATAATGCGATTGATACGTGCTCTTGTTTTTGGCTAATGGCAGAAGAACAATTTATTGTTCTTTATTGGCCACCTCCTAGAAATGGCACTAAAATTGTTGGTATAACCAGGCTCTCCTAAGCATTTTCAAAGTAACAGTTCACTGTAAAGTTCTTCCTTATCAATGGGATTTATTTGTGCTATAATTCAGTCTCTACTGTGTTTTGTTTTCAGATATGCATATATCCATTCCTGTGCATATAGATAATATAACATTTTTATCAACAATACATCTTAAGTACTATATATATTCAAGGCACTATTCTTAGTGGGGGACAGCAAGATGATCACATTTGTCCCTGGTCTCTGGAAGTCTGATAGGGGAGGGATGATAAAAGAATAAGGCACTACACAGGGTGGAATAGGGGATGCATTAAGGGAGGGTCATATTTCTGTCTTTGGATAGTGGGGTAGATAATCAAGAGAAGAGGCTGATCTGGGCTGAACTTTGAAGGAAGGGATGGGCTAGATTTGTGGGCAGAACCATAGTTAGAAGGACATTTCTGAGGAATGAGCAATGTCATGGTAGCCAAAGAGTACGGAGAACAGGGAGACACAGTGATCTGCTACAGTGAGAGCAGAGGATCTTGAATAAGTGAGAATGCAAAGGTCGATGTATAGGATACACATGATCTTGTATTTTGGACAATTTGAATTATTTTAATACAAATAGTTTTAATATACATTGTCAAATCATCTTAAATGCATCTTAAATTTTTGTAACTTCCATGTAAAGAGTGTAGTTATATCTCTTAAGATTCATATATTCATTTTAATTATGTGGTATGCTTTATAAATGTACAATGACTAGGACATAGGTAAACAAAATTGACTAGGAAAATGTCTAAGATGTTATAGAAACCAAAATAATGGCCCTGCCTATGTTTCTAGAAATTCCTCAGTTTTACAGATTGAATTGTATGTGCAAGTGGCCATATCTGTTGGCATACCATTTTTCATGTATTTACTCATCCTTCAAATCCTAGAATCACATGTGTATTAACTATTTAGGTACTTATTAAATCACTATTGTGATCTTTCCCCTTAAGGAACTATGCTCTAATAGGAAAAGTTAAATGAATGAATGAATGAAGACAAAGGTAGAGAAAAAATAATTAGTGAAAACTGAGATTTAATGTATCTGTGAGGGTGATGAGAGGAAGACTCATCACAGAAGAGTAAGGAAAAAAGAACCAGGGAGAGGAGGAAAACTCGAATGATCTAATTTAGTATTCTCCAGAGGTAGGCGTGTGTGAGTTTGTGTGTGTTGTATGTGTACACATGGGTGAAAACGAGTATCTGTTGGGGTTTGGTGCCCTATGAGTCTATTTTTATGTTCATTTTAGATTAAAAAATTAAATTTTTCTAATATTTAATACATGGGTTCAAATTTGTATCCTCATTTGGTTATAATGGTCAGAGAGTCATGTATAACATATGGTACGTAATGCTGTTTGGAGGAAAGAGTGGGGAGTCCACAAAGCACCGGTGGCACTTAATGCATTCTTCTCATTTCCTGTAATTGCCATATATTTCAGCTTAAGTTTACTTGTCTTAGTCCACGTTCTGTTGCTGTAATAGAAAACCACAGACTGGGTAATTTATAAAGAAAAGACATTTATTTCTTATGGTCTGGAAGCTGGGGAGTTCAAGGTCAAGAGGCTGCATGTGGTGAGGGCCACCTTACTGTGTCATAACATGATAGGAGGCATCACATGGTGAGAGGGCAAGAGTGAGCGCAGGTCTTTTCTCTTCTTATAAAGCCACCAGTCCTGTCATAGAGCTGGTGACCTTATGTAATTTAAATTCTCTCCCAAAGGCTCCGCCTTCAAGTACTGTCAACATATGAATTTGGTGATTAAGTTTCTAGCACGTGAAATTTGGGGACACATTTAAACCATAGCACTTGTTTATTTGTGTTTGATTATATAGATTTATGAATTTTATTATCTGGTTTTAACCAAACTTCACAAAAATTGTCGAATGACTTAAAGATTCTTGCATAGAAACTGCTTATAGACATAAGAATAAAAAACAAGAAAATGGCAGAGCCAATACGTACAAAACTGGAATGAACTCTCCACTTGCTATGATCTAATCACTTTAGAAGATGTTGTCTGAAAAAAATTAGAGATTATCAAGAAAGGTGTTTGAAATACAGACACACATTCACTATTGGTACTGACGAGCTTTAAGAGTAATTTGTGCGTTAAGATATTAGATGGTGTAAAAATATTATGATTAAGAAGACATTAAGAATCTAGAATGTTATAAACAAAATATTGTAGCATTGTAAATAAATAAAATAAATTATTTTTCTTTTACTTGTTCTTTGTTTTAAAATAAACATAATTTAGTAGCATATGTTAATTATTTATAAATAAATTGAATGCTTGTATGTCAAAACTTCTCTTTGATAAAGGTGCTCAGTTGATTTTTGGATAACAAGCAGCCAGCCCTGTATGACTTTAGCTGAAAAATTCATGAAAATTTTACATTAAAATAATTGATGTTCATAACAAATGACTCTGAGGTAAATAGAGCCTAGAGGTATCTAGTTTTTGTTTGGACCGAGTTGCGATGTCTAAGAACATTTCACTGATCGGGTAGGTGATAGGAAGGACCTACCAACTAGCTCACGTGTCTCATGGCAGAAACCTTCGGGCTCACTCCCACGTCATGTCTTGAAACACCAGTAGTTGGTGGGATATCATGAGTTGGTGTAACCATCTATATAATTTCAATTAGTGTGTGGTGTGCTTAATAAATATTATTTTAATTTCCAGATCTCTTTATGATTTAACTACTTGAAAGTTACATAGTAACACTAAAGTTATTTATGGCTATGGAGTCAGCAATCAGGGCAAATGAATATTCCAATCAACTAAAGATAAAACAAAGAGGGGAGCAAACTCCCAGGGATTGAAGTATTGCTACAATTATTCAGTGTATTTGCTTAGTTATCTTTTTAGTGTTTACTTACTTAATTTACCTCTTTGGTGGGAGCTAAACCTCCCATATGTTGTAGTAAACACTCCTTTCCGTGGCATTAACTTGATTTTTGTCCTTGCTACTTTTATAGAAAGTTGTACTCCACTCGAGCACATCCTGGAACCTACACTGGTCAGAGTTTCACCTAAGAATCTCCCCTGACTTGGTGTATGAAACATAGTTTTCACATTTACACAAAGGGTTCATGAAATGTACTGTGTTGTGATTTATCGATTGAGAAGATTGGGTAAACACTATAAAATGTAAACCCTAAGGAGATTGAGGTTTAACAAGTTTTGATTATATTTGTTTCAAAACCAGTGATATGTTTGTCTTTATTATAAAACAGAATAGATAGAATGCAAGTTCACAGCATTCTTTGTGGCCGCCGATTATGGATTTTGAACATTCTGTATTGGACTCTAATGCAGTAATATTTTCATGAGTCAAGTTCAATGGTGTTGGAGCACCCTGTGTGCAGATTCATCTCTTTGAATCTCATTATGTTCACTGTGTTAAAACTTTCTTAGGAATGCTTTAAAGACCTGACACATACTAAGTAAGCACTCAAAAGTTGCTGCTGTTGTTTATGATAGCAGTTGCTTGGTGGGAGAAGGATATTCATTGGTGGAGACCTTAAAGAATATTTCAAACATGTAGAATTTGATATGGAAAATCTTTTAAACTGAATTTGTTTTAGGGCATATTGAATACTTTTCCTTTCCTTTTTCTCAGCATCAGAAACAGCAGCTTGTGATTGGCGATACCGGATCTTCAGTTGCACATCCCCACGTCAATGCACTGCCAATGGTAAGACTCCCTCCAACTCCCAATGTCAGAAGTTTTGTTTTAACTGCTGTTTATTATTTTCCTGTTTTTTGTAGTATTTTGAGAATTTTGAAAGTTTCTCACAATTCGACAAAACACGTGTTCCCAACCAAAGTAAATGTTTTAAAAACTATATGTTGTTTAAAGTACTTAAAATAATTTTTGAATATTTAGTAAAAAACCTACTTTGAAGGTTTTTATTTTCTGTAGTTTTTAAAACCTCTTAGCTGTGGTCATCAGGAGGAAAAATATTGTTACATAGGGATGAGTGGTCTTGTGTTTTGTCAAATGAACTATATTTTGTGAATAGAATTTTCTTGTTTTAAAAAAACTCAACAATGACAACAATAGCTCTTCTGTTTTTGTTCATTTATTTTACTAAAATAGATGGTTTTTGTGTATTGCATTTATCGTAATATTTGTAGTTAATGGGCAGTTAAATGGCTAAAATTCTACCTGTTTGTAGTTAATGAATAATTTTAAGGCGAGCCATTTTTATGTATTTAAAGAGACTTTTTTAAGAAGACTTTCACTGTGGAATATAAATGTTAACCATGTGACATAGCAGAAAGATGACTGGACTCTACGAGCTGGGATTTGCTTTATTTCCTGAATATGCCGGGAATCATTGATGACTTTTGGCAATTACTCTTGTAAAAATTTGGTGATGGAATTGGACTCAATTTCTAAGGTTTATTCTAGCCATAGGCTAAGTGATCTCATTGCTGTCAACTAGAATTCAGAATGATTCTTTCTTACAAAGAGTAATTTTTTACTTAAATAGTATTGTTATGTATTTTTGGGATCAAAAATAGCAGTAGAGTGATTTCTGACATTTTTAGAATTAATTACTTAATATGTTTCATTTGAAAATGTTTTCATAGTACATTACTAAAATTTTTAATTATTTTTACTTAATCAAATTTTAGTTTTAAATGTTAAATCAGGGAGCTGTAGAAACTGATTAAGGTTTATAGAATTTGGTGAGAAATGATAGATGTTATCAGTCTGAAATAAAAACTATTGAAAGTTAATAAGAACCAGAATAAGTGGGTAAGATATTTGTAAAAATATTTCCCAGGAAATGATTCATATTAAAGATGGACTTGTCAGTAGGTTGATAAGAGGAGGATTTCCTTTGTCTAAACTATCTTCTGAATTTTTATTGGAGGGAAAAATTGACCTCTTCCTTTCCCTCTTCCCCTTCTTTCTCTGCTTCTTCCCCTTCCTCCTCCCTTTCCTCTCCTCCTCCCCCTCCTTTCTGTTCTCTCTCTCTCTCTCTCTCTCCCCCCCCTCTTCCCCTCTCTCTCCCTCCCTCTCTTTCTCTCTCCCTCTCTCTCTCTCTTTCTCTCTCTCCCCTCCCTCCCTCCTTCTCAGCAGTTGATAGAATATGATGCAGAAAATAAGAATTTTTTTTCCCCCAGCCTTACCTAGCACAAAGGATGACATGGTTTTTCATTAATTTATGAAACACCTGGCTGGGCTATTTAAGTTGCTTGGGCAACTCATTCACCATCATTGAATCTGCTGTTTCCCCGGGAGCACTATAGAGTTTCTCATGTGGGAAGCAGCTCCATGGTAAATCAGCTTTGGCATTTGGAGTATCTGCTGTTGGCTTTTTGTTTGAAGTTCACATTTGAACCCTGTTTATGGCACATCTCCCCTGATAATCAGCTGCACGGGCCTGTTGAGTTTCTAAGATGTGCATGCTGTGCAGCTACCTATCTTTTCTAAGTGCCTGCCCTCAAGTGAATTTTTCAATGTGCCCCTCACATACACTATGTTTTCTTCTTATAACAACTCAAACACTTTAAATTAGATCATCTCAAACACTGTACCAATTTTGTTGAAAATCCCTGAAATCATTTTTATGTCATGAACACAGAAATTTAAGAGTGTGTTCGCGTGTATGTTAGTGTTAGAGGTGAAGGCAGCAAAGATTACAACAAACTTGTTTACATTCTAGCTGAGGGCTCTGAAGCCATTTATAAATACACATTTGTACAATGTATTGGTAAATTTATAAGTATTGGTTCCAAATGATGGTTTCCTCACGAACCTCAGAAATGCCATAGTATTCTGAGTTAAACCTGTGTTATGTAGTACCTCATATTTTTTTTCCCTGAAAATGGCTTAAAGGAAGGCTTTGTGGGAATGTATAGTTACTTCTACCAGCCCCATACCCACCCTCAACATCGTTCTTTTTTCCTTTTATTTATTTTTTAATTGATGTGTGATAGTCGTGTAAATTTTAGAGGTACAAGTGATACTTTGATACCTGTATATAGTGTGTAATGATCATATCAGGCCAATTGGGATATCCATCACTTCAAACATTCTTCTCGTCTCCTCTCCTCCCCTCTCTTTTTTTATTGTTCAGAATCAAAACTCTGTACCCATGGAGCAGTTTTCTATTTCTGTGAGCCCCTGGCAAGAACTCTTTTACTTCCTCTTTCTATGAGTTTGACTACTTTAGATACCTCATATTAAGTGGCATCATATAGTATTTGTCTTTTTTGATCGACTTCTTTCATTTAACATAATGTCCTGAAGGTTTATCCATGTTGTAGCCTGTGACATTATTTTCTTCTTTTTAAAGGCTGAATAATGGTCAGGTACGGTTAGTTGCTCACACCTATAATCCTAGCACTTTGGGAGGCTGAGGTGGGAGGATTGTTTGAGGTCAGGAGTTTGAGACCAGCCTGAGCAAGAGCGAGACCCCATCTCTACAAAAAAAAAAAGAAAGAGAGACAGAACAATTAGCCAGGTGTGGTGGCGTGCACCTGTAGGCCCAGCTACTTGGGAGGCTGAAAGCAGGAGGATTGTTTGAGGTTGCAGTGAGCTGTGAGGATGCCACTGCACTCTAGTGTGGTCGACAGAGCGAGATCCTGTCTCCAAAAAAAAAAAAGAGGCTGAGTAATATTTCATTTTATGCACATACCACATGTTCTTTATTTATTCATCCATTGATGGACATTGGGGTTGCTTCCACCTTTTGGCTGTTGTTAATAGTGCTACTTCGAACGTGGGTGTGCAAGTATCTCTTCGAGATCCTGATTGCACTTCTGTTGGAATCCCAGAGGTGGGATTGCTGGATTGTATGGGAATTCTAGTTTTATTTTTTAAAGGAACTTTTATACGTGTTTTCTGTAGCACCTGCACCATTTTAAGTTCCCACCAACAGTGCTCCAGTGTCCCAGTTTCTCCATATCCTGGACAATATTTTTTTTTATTCTGTTTGTGTGATAGTGGCCATCCTAATGGGTGTGTGGTGTTGATAATAACTTCTTAATTTAGTTCTCCATTTAGTTTTAAGTTTTCCTGAACTGCTCATAAATATGTTTTTTACTGAATCACAACCGAATCCATGCATTATGTTTGGTTGCTATGTATAATTTATGCTTCTACCTATTTATTTTATTTTTCCCTTGTCCTAGAAAGTTTTCTACATTTTGTGTTTTATTAACTGCATTCCTGTAGTATAATGTTTATGTTTTCCTTGTATTTTCTGAAAATCAGCAGTTAGATCCAAAGATTTAATCTAATTCAGGTTTTTTCCCCATTAGTTTGGGAGGTTGAGGTGGTGGAATATTTCATAGGTGGTGCTAAGTAAAGGTCAAGTATCTCAAAATCTGAAATCCAAAATGCTGCAAAATCTGAAACTTTTTGATCACTGACATGACACTGGAAGAAAATGCTCATTGTAACATTTTGGATATCAGATTTTCGGATTGGGGATGCTGAACCAGTATATTGTAAATATTTCAAAATCTGAAAAAAATCTGAAATCTAAGCATTTTGAATAAGGGATACTTCATGAAGAGACACAATAATGTTTGTTTGTGATGGTAGGTGACCACTGATTATCTTGGCTGGATCCATTATTTCCATTAGGGCATACAAAAACGTTGATGTCCTAATTATATCAAGCTTTTAGATACTGTAATATTTCTATAAAGAGAAACTTCCCTCTTCGGATATTTGGTTACTCTTTGATACAGTTTGCACAGGAAAGACATGCTAAATGCTTGATTCATTATTTTTAATTTATCACTTTTCAAACTATTGAGTTGTTTCATAGAATCCTGGAAAGGTAACCAGTGAGGATTTTTTTAAAGAGTTATTTTGAGCTTATGAATTTAAGTATTTAATATGTTTTATTGCATTGTAATTTTTATTCTTATTGATGTCAGGTTGTCTTGGCTAAAAGAGCCTTTTCAAGTTGATCTCCAAGTCTTTTTGACATGACTCCAATATTCTCTGATAGCTACCTTGCTTTCTGACATAACAAGGATGTTCTTAAGTTTATCTCTTGCATGTAATTCCATGGTCCTCAAATCAGTTGTCTCTAAGAACTCCTGATTCCTTTTGGTGAAAAGTAACATCTGTATATTTATGTCATATATACTGTATATAGTCTTTATAAACATGATAGTAAATAATTTCAATGTGTTATTTAAATATAAAATATAGAATAGCAATGAAATATAAAATAAACGTGTAAATATATAAAATATAATACAAAATCATATATATTTTAATATTTATAAATATAGTTAAGCCAGTACTACCAATATGATTACTGGTAAGTATTTTGCTTTGTTTTTATTTTTCTTTTTTTGCCCATCTCCATCGGGATTCACAGCTAAAGTATTGTTTTTTAAATTTTGTATATATTTAAAAAAATTTTTAGATTAGAGATGGGATCTTGCTCTGTTGCCCAGCCTGGAGTACAGTGATGCATTCATAGCTCACTGTAGCTTCAGACTCCTGGGCACAAGCAATCCTCCCACCTTGGCCTCCTAAGTAGCTAGGACTACAGGAGTGTGCCATCATACTGGCTGTTTTTAAAAGTTTTTTGTAGAGATGATGGGATCTTGCTGTGTTGCCCAGGCTGGTCTCAAACTCCTGGGCTCAAGTGATTCCCCACAAGCTTGGCCTTCCAAAGTGCCAACATTACAGGTGTTATGTTTTAAAGTAAA